TTGTGCATAAGGTCGCTATGAGTTGGTACCGACTCGATGGCACCTAACAACAACAACAACAAGTCCACTAAAGGGAGGCCTGGTGTGGCGCTCTAGGTTAATGCACTGAATTGTAAAGTTAGCTTGGACCCAAAGGCCGGTGGTTCAAGCTCACCAGCTGCTCCTTGGAAACTCTGTACATGTAGGATTCCAACTTGACAGTACTTAGTGACGGTAGTTGTTGTTGTTGTTAAGTACCGTAGAGTCAGTTCCGACTCATAGCAACCCTGTACAGAGTTTCCGAGGCTGTAAATCTTTACGGGAGCAGAAAGCCTCATCTTTCTCCTGTGGAACAGCTGGTAGTTTCAAACTGTAGGCCCTGAGGTTCGCAGCCCAATTTGTAACCACTACACTACCAGAGCTCTAAATACCTGCTTTAAAGTGGCCTAGGAAAATGGTGGCTTATTTTTCTATATCACAAGATATCTGAAGGATTTGTGTGCCATCAACTCAGTTCCAACTCATAGCAATTCTATATAGGATTTCTCAGGAGCAGCTGGTAGATTTGAACTGCCAACTTTGCACTTAACAGTTTAGTGCTTATTCTACAACAGCATACTAGGACTCAAAATAGATAGTTGTATACCCCTATTCTGTAGTTTATATGAAGCTTTAAAGATGCTGGCTTAAATGGCCATCAACAGAAGAATGGTTAAACAAACTGATAGATGCACGCAATGGAATACTATGCAACACTGAAAAATAACAATGAATCTGCAAACCTGGAAGACATTATGCTGAGCAAAATTAATCACACAAGAGCAAATATTGTCTGATACCACTGTTGTAAGAAGTAAAGGAAAGGCTTTCTTGATGAAAGAAACATTCTATTATGGTTACTTGGGAGTGGGGAGAAAATTAAATAAATACATACATGTTTTAAAAGGTCAAATGTAAAAAAAAAAAAAAATTGGCTGGCTGGTTTGTGGCAGCATTAGATCTGTCTGGTAATAAACTGTATTTTAACATGGAGTTATTGTTGTTCACAGCAACCCTATACAGGGTTTCTGAGGCTTTAAATCTTTACAGGAGCAGAAAGCCTCACCTTTCTCTTGCACTATATGGTTACAAAATGTTTATCATTAAAGGCCAGGCAAATTAAGTATACAATCAGACTTACAAAAGGCAGGGATAGTTACGTTTGTGGTAGACATTCTCAGCTGTCTACCTAGCAGCCATTTCCTCCTTCTTCCTGCAAACAGAACCCCATTTTTTTCAAACAGTAGGCTGAGATTCCTAGGTTCTTACTGCAGACCCCAAAAGATAAATCCTATTGGTCTCAATTAGTCATGGTAATCTCATTTCCTAGACCAGTAACTGTCTAAGGATAGGCATGTGGCACAGTACTGGTCAATGAGACGTAAGCAAAATCTAAAGGGGCGAGTGGCCCATTCCAAACAAAAAGACCAAATCCTGCCAGGAATGAAGATGCAATGCGTAAGCTATAGCATCCATCATGCAATCATGAAGACAAAGATCAATGGCACAAGAGAGTCAGAGTGGAGAGACAAGTGGAGGCCTTGAGGCCATTTCTGAACTGCTGCTTCTTGCCTATACAGCCTACCTGCAGATTTCTTGTAATATAGAAAAATGAACCCCCATTTTCCTAGCCCACTTTAAAGCAGATTTTCATTATTTATAGATGGATGCCTTCCTAACTGATACTCATATCTATATGCATTATCTTTTGTTTTCCTAGGGAAAAAATATGTTGCAACATATTGGTGGTGTTCTGTACACTGTTGACTGATTTGCTGTTGAAATCAATTCCCACAGACTCATCTGCACTAAGAACCTCTTTGATCTCCCTCAAATACAGACTTTTGGGAAAATGAAAAACAACCTTAAACAGGTAACAGAGCTCAAATGAAATATATAATTATCCTTTTCCTATTCTCAAACTAAAATATTTTCTTCTTCAATTATAATTTCTTGAGTAAAGTATACATGTAAGTGTAAAAGGCATTTAAACTCTGTTGTATTAACTTAATGTTATCTTGAAAATCAAAAACAAATATTATAACAGGTTATGTTCCTCTCTGTAGCTTGAGACACACAAAAATACTAACTTTAACACACAAAGGATCCATCCAATACGCATATTTATCCATACCAAAAGATAAATGAATTGAATTGAAGCATGTTACAGAATGACTGAATTTTAAATGCACAGATATATAGTAGGGAGTCCTGATTTGGACTAGTACTGTCGGTTTGGACAGCAAGGCTGGCAGTTCAAATCCACCAGCTGCTCCTCAGAAACCCTATATAGGGTCACTATGAGTTGGAACTGACTCAATGGCAAGTAACAAAAAACAACAAAATAGATAGTAAAGGCAGAAATGGTATTTTACTCTTCAACTATACCGACTATGGATGTAAGACTCCTGAGTAGGCAAAAAAAAAGCAAAACGCAAAAACAAAAAAGAATATTTATGCCATTAACTATTCAGAATTAATAACAAATTTAAAATGTTAAATGCTAGATATTTTCCAATTGAAGGGAGATAGCTGATATTTGGTTACTGTTGTGTCTAAATATGCAAATAAGGCATGTATATATCAACAAATATCACAGCATGTTAGCCTTGTTTTAACCTTTAACCTGATTTATAACTGAAAAGATCATGTGGCAATGGGTATAGCTGATATTTGTGTTACTGTTGTGTCTAAATATGCAAATAAGGCATGTATATATCAACAAATATCACAGCATGTTAGCCTTGTTTTAACCTTTAACCTGATTTATAATTGAAAAGATCATGTGGCAATGGGTTTTACACTATTTCATTCACAAAAAGAGAAGATTATCCATCCAGCAAGCACATTTTTCCCGGGATTTCATTGCGTGAATGAACTAGACACATTTTTCTTTCGCTCACTAAGCATGAGAAATATTTCCAGATAATCAGTAAGGTATGAAACAACAAATTAAGTAACACTCATTTTGCATTTTTGACAAATCTTTCGAAAGTTTGAAGGTTGAAAAGACAAATTGAACAAGGACAATTTGAGGGGTGGGGGAACATACCTTAGAGATGATTAATGGCTCTCCATGCTCCAGACCACCTTTCAAAGTAAAGCCCCAGGGAGCTCCTCCCTGCAGGAATGCTTCCAGATATATGTACCTTCTCTTAGGGGTCCCGTGAGGGTTTAGCGTGGGGCTGGTCTCCTCGAAGCTCTCCGCAGTCCTCATCATGCCCAATGCATGGCCCCTCAAGTTAAATTTTAAATGCCTGGAACTGATTCAGGAAAGCAGCGCATCTGTAGTACAAGTTACCCTGCGCTGCATGATGCACGCCGCCCAAAGAAAGGAGTTTTTTTTCTGGCTGTAAAAAGTTCTTCCGAGCTTAACTTCAGGATGCTGAGCCCGGAGGATTTTTCATTTGAACTTTTCTCAGTGTAAACCCTCCAGGAATTCCAGGTCTCACTGAAGCCCCCAGTGGTATATATCGCTCCACTACTTTAGGAAAAAATTTATCTTCTAGGTCATTCTGAAGACTGTTTGTATTTCACACATACACCAAAAAAATCTTTTTCTGTATATTTGCCAGAGAACATTTAAATCGTGTTACAATACAGCAAGAAAATGGTAAAAATTCAAATGAATACCTCAGTTTTGATTGATTATTAGCCTTTTCTTCTTCTCCGAGTGAAATTTACCATTACAATAGCCTCTCCCTCCCCAGAAGTAGCTTTAAAAGAAAGAAAGCAACTTACTATGCTTCTGCTCGCTTCAGAATTTTCTGACTTGTCCCAAAGAGAGAGAAAAACTTTTCTTTTTCTTTTTTTTTTCAGTAATAAGTTTGTTATTTGTTTCTTGCAAAAGATTATAAATTTTGTCAGCATATAAAGAAAGAACATTAAAAAAAAAAAAAAAAAAGGTAAATGAATCCTCAGTGGGAAAAAAAAAAAAAAAAAAAAGGTAAATGAATCCTCAGTGGGAAAAATGCCAACGAGGCAGTTCGTTTCTTTCTCTGGTACTTTTCACTGATCATCAGCTACTGCGGTTGTTGCAGCTGTAGCGGCTGCTGGTAGCCTCGGTTTCTTAGTCCTCTGAGAAAAAGAGTAAGGAAGTGAGAGAAAAATGGATTAAGACAAAAGAGGCATTGCCACCTTTCTGCACAGTAAGCACTGCTGGGCAGATTTCAGTTCATTAAAAAAAATTAATTAATTAACTAAAGCAGTCTTATAGTTGATGAAATGTGTAAATTAAAATAACCACGTTGTTGCTGTGAAGTGCCGTGGAGTCGGTTCTGATCCAATGGAGACCTTGTATAGGGTTCCCAATACAGATGACTAATTACCAAGGTGCAGTAAATAGTTGATAGAATAAGCCTTATCTGATGTCAATTAAAGCAGATCTCCCAGTGTAAGACACAGGCATTGGAATTTTCAAAAAAAAAACTCTCTGGAAATTCTACTATATGGCCTGTTTTGAGAAGCAGTGCCTTAGGTGGTTTTTATAGACATAAAATGTCAAAGTAGTGCACAACGTATTTTTTTTCCATTGAAGACAATGTATTTGAAGAAAATGTAATAAACAGCCAGCCATATATCTTGAAAGATGACTCTCCAATCAAATATCTGTTTGTTCAACTTAAAACAAATATCACCAGGCTTTTTTCTGTATTTTAATTTCTTTAATTTTCTTCTGTTCTCTACTCTAAGATTGTTTGCTATTCTCTTTTTAAAAGAAAATAGACATGCAAGGCTGAATGTTGTTCTGATTTAAGCTTATGAATGTTATTTTGTAATAATGTTATATAAAAAGTCAACATTATGTGAGTCCAAATCACCTCAATGGTAACTCACAGCACCTACAACTTTTTTATTAAAAATGTAAACAGTACAACATAACTGTCTTTTATCCGGAAACCCCAGTTTATTCAGTTACTGGAACAATTTAGAATTCTTTCCAGGGACAAGTTTGCTAAAACTTTTTGTTTAAAAGTATGTGATAACGTGAATTGTGTTGAATGGTGGTAGGGGTGGTGGTGTGTCATGGATTCGGTTCCGACTCATAGCTACCCTGTACAGTGTTTCCGAGGCTGTAAATCTTTACCAGAGCAGAAAGCCTTATCTTTCTTCCGCGGAACAGCTGGTAGTTTCTAACTGCTGGGTTAGCAGCCCAATTCGTAACCACTTCATTCTGGTAGCGTAGTGGCTACGAATCGGGTTGCAACCGTAAAGATTTAAAGCCCCAGAAACCCTGTACAGGGTCGCTATGAGTCGGAACCAACTCCACGGCACATAACAACCACCACCAGTACACTACCTTATTGTGTTGAATATTGAGGTTAAAATTACTGTGTATTTTAGTAACAATCTGTATTTGTACCTATAATTAATTAAAATTTAACAAAGAAGTAGACACAATATGCAAACAAGATTAGGTAATATTTAATGTATTTAATGTAACACATTGACATGTATTATTTGCTTTTTCAGTAGTAAAATTCTTCAGAAGGACTCAAAAACAATAAGTAAATTAAAACCGTATTTGGAAACATACACACTGTCATTTAGTTGATTCAAATTCATAGGGTTTCCCTGTCTGAAGCTCTGGTAGCATAGTGGTTATGAATCGGGCTGCGAACCTTAAAGTCAGCAGTTCGAAATTATCAGCTGTTCCGCGGGAGAAAGATGAGGCTTTCTGCTCCCGTAATAATTTACAGCCTCGGAAACCCTGTTAAGGGTCGTTATGGGTCGGAACCAACTCGACGGCACATAACAACAACCATGTCTGAGGTTGTCAATCTTGATGGAAGCAGAAAGTCTCATCTTTCTCCAGATGAGCAGCTGATTGGTTTGAACTGCCAACCTTGTGATTACCAGTCCAGTGCTTGTCCTGCAGTGCCACCAGGACTCCAGTGGAAACATTAGATAAACAAAATAAAAGTATATAGTAAAGACTGGCTGAATCTTAAGGGCAAATTATGCAAGTTTTATTGGGGTTCCTTCCATTTAAAGCTTAATTTATAAATTAAGAACAAAAGGGAAAACATTGACTTTTTCCACCCCAGTATTCAAAGTACATATATTTTTAAAAATAAAATTCCTAAGTGTTTTCTTTTTTGGGAAATAATTGTATGTGATTGTTATAACCTTGCTCTTAATATGCTTTGTAAGGAGCTCTGGTAGCGTAATGGTTATGAATCGGGCTGCTATTCTCAAGGTCGGCAGTTCGAAGCTACCAGCTGTTCCGCTGGAGAAAGATGAGGCTTTCTGCTCCCGTAAAGATTTACAGCCTCGGAAACCCTGTTCAGGGTCTCTATGAGTCGGAACTGACTCCAAGGGACTTAATCACCACCAATATGCTTTGTTTAAAAAAAAGGGGGGGGAGATTATGAATTAACATTTACTACTAACAACAACAACATTCAAAGTAGTACAGAAGCCCTGGTGTGGTGCTGTGGGTTAATGCGCCAGATTGCAAAGCCATTTGAACTGCAAGGTCGGTGGTTCAAGCTCACCAGCTGCTCCTTGGAAACCCTATACAGGGTCTCTATGGGTCTGAACCGACTCAACTTAACAACAACAACATCATAAGTAGTAAATGATGTGGTACTGTGGGATAAAGCACTGGACCGCAAGGTCAGTTTGAAACACAAGGTCGGTGGTTCAAACTCACCAGCTGCTCCTTGGAAATCCTATACAGGGTTGCTTTGAGTCAAACTCAGCAACACTTAACAACAATTAAAAGTAATGAAGCTGAAAGCAATAACAAAGAAGAGCACAAAAAGATATTGGTGAATAATAAAAGTATTTGTAAACCAGTAAAGCCTCAACTTTATAAAATTATAAAAAACATTTAAGGAATACAAATATTCAACAGAAATTTATATGTAATCTGAATGTAAAGTTTCATTTTCCCCCCATCTTCCTTTGCTCAGGTTCAAAGAATGGTAACCTTGCAAGAGACTATTGTTGTTGTTAGGTGCCTTCAAGTCCATTCCAACCCATAGGAACCCTATATAGGGTTTCCAGGGAGCAGCTGACATCCTTGAACCACCGACATTGCAGTTCAAACCGACTTTGCTGCCAAGTGTATTAACCCACAGTACCACACCAGAAGGAGTCCTGGTGTGGTGCTGTGGGCTAATGCGTCAGACTGCAATGTCATTTAAACTGCAAGATTGGTGGTTCAAGGATGTCAGCTGCTCCCTGGAAACCCTATACATTGTCGCAATGGGTCGGAATCAACTCAATGGCACTTAAAAACAACAACAACAACCACACCAGAAGTCCTCCAAGAGACTAGCTGTTCCATTTTTCCACAAAGGCATAAAAAGATGAAACAATCTAATAAAAGTCATCCTACAAGCAACAAGGAAGTCCAAAATGCATTGAAAGAAGTGACAAAGAACAAGGCACCAGGAATTGATGGAATAAAAATTGA